TAACAGAAAAACTAGCGATTCGATGTGCGTGCCGAGTTGATTAATCGAGAGGTCTAGAGTTGGGTCATAAACCGGCTACGGCCAAGCACTAGCCGTAATGCTGGACCCTAGAACCTAAAACTAGGTCAGGAGGCACAGATAGGCAGGACGTGGCGACGGTACGAACCAAGGTGCAACGACCACGACGATCCCGGTTGACGCAGTTCGGATTCCCTCAATCTAGCACAAACATACGCGTGTGTTGGCATCCTCATCACATGAGTAGCGGGAGTGCTAGTACGTGCCAGAGAAGGTTAGGTTTTTAGCCTTATTTACATATCGTGATTACTCGCTCATTGTTTGGGTTGCGGTAGCGCGCGATATCAAACACGTATGACTTCCATGTGCCGGCAACCGTGCTTCGCGTCGTACTGCTTACCGTCTTGAGACTATAAAAGGATTCATTACCAGACTTAGGTGGTCTATTGGCAGTGGTTCCATTGAGAAAAGTTAAGTGGTCCAGCAATCAGCAGTAATCACCGGGTGTGAGTGGGTACATATGATTACTAGTGTAGTCCTACCAACAGCTACAGGTGCACCAAATAGAAGGTAACATCGCTTACGATCAGTCTACCATCTACTAACCTGTGGACTACGCTAGTTAGAGGAATAGAATACGCATTAGCGAGCAAGACATTGCTTTAAATCTACATGTAGCGGAGGAAGGAGTCGGGTCGTCTCTCACACGTAAAGATGCTGATGCTCAATGTTTCGACTTTGAATGTGGGCCGAGCGCTTCCAATCGTGAACTCAACGAGAGATTCAACGCGCTTCATAACGCTTAGTTTTTGAGGTGGTTAGATCGCTCAGGGACAGGGGATTTCAGAGCCTTTACCGCTATTGTTGCCGATTCTGCGAGATTAGGCCCCTTGTTTATGCGCAGTTCCGACGTCGCCGTATACCAACCCTTATGGAAAGTAGTTTCAGGTATAGTAAGCTAGCAGCTTTCTAGGCTGGGACTCAGATGGTAAGGATATGTAAATATAAGCTTCCGGTTCATCGGGATTAGATTGTTGGGCCATGTAGAGCCTCACCAGCTCGCGAGAGCGAGGATTAGCACTGGTCTAACCCAAAGGATAGATCAAGATCATTGCCGACGGTCAGAGGTGTAGTAATACTCATCCATATGGTCTAAGATATTTTTGCTTTAGTCGATCGTTGAAAGTGCTCTCGCTGTGGAGCTGTAGGGTCTCACAATAAGCCCAATTCCTTCCTTCACCGTACGATCAGTTTCGCAAACCGTATTCCTCGAGTTCAGACACCGGTTACCGTGTATGTGTGTCCTAAAGTTGTCCTATAAGGCTTGTTTAGGCAATCCAAAATTCGTTGTTTGCTCCATTTTTTCTGCTAAAGGCGGAAGCAAAGCCTGCTATGGCCTGTGTGTTTCACGTTTCGGATGTCACACAAGCCTTGCTCGGGCACGTCTGTGTGTGCTGGCAGATACGACTGCAACTAATTCCTTTGTACACTAATGGAGTACACAATGCCTGGACATCTTGATGACCCGGCATACCGTAAGGCAGTTGCGCAGTTAGCGTAGTTCATCCGTCTTTATCGCCGTTGACCCAGTAGTAAGACATGGTACAACACCAAGCATAGTGTCTCAGCCAGGACGTTTGATGGTATCTTGGGTGCCGTTTCTACGGGCTGGGGCATTGTGATGTCATGTTATGGAACATAGTTAACAGTGGTGAGTTTCGAGAACTTGAACTAGTCGGAATATCGCGTTAGAGAGCTGAGAACGAATGATGCCATCAAGGATAAGGGTAGAACTCAGGAGTTCATAGAAAATGGGGTTAGATAGTAACCGAAGACAAATTCAATCGCCCACATAGACAGTTTCGACCACTAATTATAAGAGAAGCGCCGCCGGAGGCAGGATACGATTCCTGTTCTAGATTTAGCGGCCGCGACCCTACTTGTCTCAGATGCGACAAGTGCTTAATACAGGCCGTGCAGACGTTCCTGAGCCGTACACACGTGTTCACACGGCCATAGGTATCATGATCAGGCCCTCGAGCAGCGCCCTTATGATGAACTCGTATCGATGTGTTGTATGGTACGGTTTACGTCAATCGCGAGCGACCCAACGAAGTCGAGTGAAAAACCTGGGCCATACGGCAAACGCACTTCCCAACCTCATGTCGACCGGCGTTCTCCAAACGGCTTAGGCATTTAAAGTGTAAACCGTTTCATCATGTGTCCTACTAAGGAAAAGGTCACCGCCTCTTACTCAGCACTAAGGAGCTTGAAGTAGTCAAGAATTTCAATTGATGTTCTCTCGGTCTGGTAGAATCAATATCTTCGGGGAGGGGAACCAGGCGTTCAGTGCCAATATGCCAAGGATGTGTGGGCAACAGGTTATGCCCTGCGACACAGTTTGGATGAGTAAACACGCTTATCCTCCGGCAGTGTCCAAGTGGAGGAGGTAGGTACATCAAAATATAGTCGAGAACTCAGCTGTCACAGCTGTATGGCGACCAGACTAGCTTTCATGTTACATGCGTAATCTCTATACGTATTATGGGTTAATACGTATGTGATTTCGAACGAACTACAACCCGACATAGCTAATTGGTACTTAAGGGGACATGTATAGATAGTTTAATTTGACGAGTAGTACCGGGGGGGAAAAGACATGGTGTGGACAGGTATGCGCCGAGGTCAGACAGAAGTTGAACCCAAGGCGTTTCGTTACATCCGCCGCCCGGCCCTGACGCATCCTGTGGAGCCTACCCCTGCGTAGGATACCTAGAATACGTGGTGAGCGGTCCAGAGAACTCGACCTTTTATCCTCCCCTGTCGACCTCCCACGTCCAGACACTATCTAGCGCATACGAGGCGTAATCGTAGTCTATCTGCCACGTAACACAAAGCTACAGCCGCTAACTTCCAATCTAGCGAGAGTGATGGTCTAGGCAGCCATGATCCTATCGTGAGATTCGTAACTCATGCGCATAGAATAGGCAACAAGAGTAGAAGTTCACCTCTCGGTAGCTAAGACCAGGAGTAAATCCGAAGCCAACGTAAACGGCCGCAAAGGGTCATTACCAGAGCATCTTTAATACCATACCACGTACCCTCGATCTCCTCCTGCCATAGAGGATAGTAAAGTCATTTAACTTGCTCCAAGGGTATATCGTACCTCTTTCCTCTTTGGGTTCGTCTTCTAGTGAGAAGGCGGTACCACGGTGCCACATTTGCCCCTTAGAGCATGTCAAAACTTGGTTCTCACGCCATCAGTGGTAGGCGTCAGTAGGCCATACACTGTTTGATGACTTTAGTTCGTAGAATCATTACTATCGCGTGACCTTGTGGCACGCGGTAGACTCGCAACTCTTCAATACTCCCCTCTCATGAGAGCTCTTGGACCGCCCGATCGAGACAGGATAATAGAGTTCGCCCAGCGGAGCATATTGTTCAATTTGTCAGTTCAAGGGTTACACCGGTGCTAGATCCCCTTCATGCGCGCCAGGCCGGCGGCCAGCGTGGAGGTGCGCATGGTTACCCTCTTTTAGAGAGGTGACTGACTTCACCTAGTCATTCCTAAATACTAAAAAGGTGATGATATCCGGTTCGTATACACTGGCGCCCCACTGACGAACGCGGCCATGACGTGATCAAGTCAAAGGTTGAGTCTTAATCCATGCAACGCAACGGAGATTCTATGGCAAATTGTTTACGAATGCGAAATATACAAATCCAAAGTCGGAGGCATAGTCGTCGCACACAAATGAGTCATCATGGGTTGGCGGGGGTGATAAACTTTATTTTCAGATCTACAGGAATTTCAACAGCAACAGGCAGCAACGAACAGTTGTAGCATCGACACGGACTATTACCACGAAAGTCCAACAACACGAAATCTACGCCAAACTAGATCTAAGCCGCCACTATACAGTAACCGCTGGGACTAGGATAATATCTGTGTTTGGGCGAATGGGAGTTGGTGACTGCATATGGGACGAGTAACTTCCTCTTATAACGTGTATGAGTTTACTTAAGCCTAATACTGCTGGCGTCCCAACACCACCGACAGATCGTAAGATCATCTTGGGAGCCTGAAAACGAGCAAGGTGGTTGTCATTGGTTTAGCCGGGCTCCGGCCAGTCTGGCGGTTCAATGTTGAACAATCTTTATCCGTCTCAACGTTAGTGGGAACCCTCCGAATGACTTGCCGCGCGTTCGTGTCTCTACGGGGGGATGTATTACGGGTCGCGTATACTTATTAGTGAGTAGAAACTACGCCAAATCCGGCATCGACCATTGATAAACTTGATGATATCTCTCGTAAAGTGAGTCCCATGAGGGGTCATAGAACAACTATGCGTCCGCGGCGATACCAAGAACCCTGTGTCAGACTTTCGTACTAGCCTGTGCCTACACAGGAGCCCTTAATCCCTACCATCCAGCCCTAATCCGACTTGCTCTTAGACTCTGTTAATGGTCCCGATTCTGGGTTAAACCTGAAGTGCTGAACCCAAAACATAATTTTACGCAAGCCGTAACCTCGGTTGAATGGCGACGTCCCCCGCCCTATTTGATCGGAGTGCCCGATGATTCAGAAGGGGAATAATCGGCGCTACAACTTTGCTCCCACATAACAGGATAGTATCCGTACGTATTGTCGTCCACACGTGCACCAACCTGATATCTCCATTTGAAACACGGTCTAAACTATTGTTAGGTGAGGACGCTCGCCCAAATTAGTGCATTTCAAGACGTACGTACGAGGAGAAAATCGACAACGGAGGAGACCGTACCTCCAGGATTCTTTTACTAAATAACGGCTGAAGTCGCAAGTCCGCAGAAGCAGACGGGCTCATACCTGGTATGCGAACCCCGTACCTGGATGTTTTAGTACAGAGACTAGTTTAACCGCCATGTAATACCTTCAAGTGAACGGTGACAAACGGATGTTCGAGCAAAGCTGCCGTTGGCCATCACGGCTGTGCCGGATGATGCGTAACGACACTGGACAGGTAGTAGATCGTAGATGGCCGGGTACATGTCAGACGGATGCAGTGCACTGGGGGCCTAGACACTCCTCAGGATTGCAACACAAGCATGCCTTTCATACGGAAGCCGTCTGGGGGTTTTCGGCTTGTGTAATCGATTGTGAAAATGTAGGGGCTTTTGCGAGTGGGGGTTCACTTACTTCCAATACGAAACGGCTTTCAACGCGTCCGCATCCGGTCTCGGTCATTAAGTGTCCGGCTGGAAGACCAAGCCCTCAGGAATATTTTCATCGGAACAATAACCGTAGAGTCAATTTGCGACTCCATTGATTGTTGTAACTAGGTCGTAGCTTTGGAAAGTCTACAATACGCGGCCCTTACAGGCTGAATGAGAGTATGCAGGTTTTAGCTTTACCTCATTTATCGAATGGAAACATTGCCTTAAGCACCTTCGTAGTCGTCTGTTGCCGCATCCCACGAGTAATAACTGGGAGCAATTCGGCTCTTTTCTAAATCACTTAAGACCATGGTAATGATTTAGAATATATACAAGTTGGAGTCCCTCTCGCGGACGGTCTTTAGACGTTATGCCTAAGAATGGTTAGACGGTTGCAGTGTCTATAAAAAGTATGCCGTATTAACAGACTTTGTTGTCATACGTTAAACTTTCGCTCGTTTTTTGGCAAATCTTACCAAAACGAAATTTGTCGAGATGGTTCACGCAATCAGGCCTACTCACAGCTGCTTATTCGACAGGGGTATGCCGTCTTATTCAGTGATGTTGCATTCTAGATTGGTTCCCGGTTGACTGGTGCCTAGAGTGATTGCGTGGACGGGCAGAAGCGGGAGACTGGGTCTCACGCAGAGGCTGCGGGACCGCTGCAAAGTAAGTGAATGCCTTACGGAACAGGGCCCCACTTCGGAACGCACACCCATCAGCGACCATAGGAACTCCTCACCTTACATAATAGCCCCTTTTACCACGAAACCAAACGCAGATTCACACGCTGACTGCCTTCTCATCGAAATTTATTAGTGTAGGTCTAAGTTCAGGCAAGTTAAGACCATATTACGGGGTTTGGCCGACTTCGTTTGGCAACGCGTGCTCCAGACCCGGCCAGTAAACGCGATCAAGTTAGCGTCACGAATAAATTCCTGCTGTAACGTCCATTCACCCCAAGATGTTCTAAATCGTTTCCACAATTTTCATTATACCCGTCACATGGGTAGATTACTTCGTTTTTCGCTGGGTAGGCCCCGCACTACTGTGAAGCCTTGCAACGTCAGAGAGCTTTGAGATACGGCCTCCCGTGTCTAAACGGGCTTACTGGTCGACTTCTGCACCCAAAGGCCTTAAATTGATGCTCGCGACGCTCCGCTCTTTACGTCAACTGTCGGACAGTGACACAACAAATGTAAGAACTCCGCGATGAAACCTCCCCTACCACTAGGGGGAGGCTCGTAGTGTGATGTATCCGTAGAGCAGAAAATTAATCCTACAAAGATAGTCTGATCCCTGACGCAACGTTAAGCTCAGTGTTAATGCGAGAACATTTCACGGAACCACGAGGGTGGAAGATCAGCAGTCGGTTTTCGATTGAGGAAGTATGCGAATATAGGGTCCTTAGGCCCGATCAACAGCCTTCTTCTTGTCCGATATGTTGCTTTGCGTCAGCCTGTTTGTGCCCGTTAGCTATATCAAGTATGAGATCGGTCTGTGTACCAGAGCAGAAGCTTCCAATAAAGTACCGAGCTTACGCTCGCTGACGATGACTGCCCTGTTATTCGACTGTCCTGCTCAGCTTGTATAACCCTTAAACCCAAGCACATGTGACCGCGGGCTCACTTCGTGGCATTCTCTTGCAAGACCATTGAATTTATGTCACATTTTAACAATGGGGATATTTAAACAGGGCCCACCTAACCATAAATCCTTTATACAGCCGTTAGGTGTTCACTCGTTAGGCCTCGGTGTGGAATAAACACCGCTATGTGGGGTGGTAGGAGGGGTGGCGCGTTTCCATCGCTTCTTTTGTTTCATTATTTTTCGTTTGAATGCAACCCTTATGTCTGCAGATTCCCTTCGTGAGAACTGACGCACTTGTTATTTTTTTTTTGCACATTTGTGTTGCAGAAAACTCGGTGATATTTGATCGGTCATCTGGTGAGTACAAAAAAAATGTTTTATATTTTTTTTGAAAGACATTTCATTCGTTCAAGATAACTCACACACTCCGTTGCAGACCCTCCCGTCCTCACTTCCCCTCGCACAAAAAAAAATGTAATATCACAAGGGGATTAAAAGTCAGGGCGGGTGCCGCCTGCTCACAATTCTTACTAAATGAGACCCAGTGTTGTGCCGTAAAAGTCTGCTCCATACTTATCTGGAAACCAGACCTCCTTGCTCTCATAATTCTCCAAAAATTGCCAAACAAACCAGATAAGTTAAACCGAAGGGGGGGGGTGGTAAAGCTCAGACGCTTCTTGTGTGAAAAACATCTTTGGGTGGGTGGGGGGAGGAAGCGGTCGCTTTGTAGAGTCTCAGCCAGTGCTAAATTGAAAAATGTCCGTGATAAAGAAGGGACGCCTTTCACGGGGGTTGGTGGTGGTGGTGGGGGGGCGTCTGTAGCACGTATTACACGACTGGTTCGTTTGATTTTTTGGAGGGGTTTCACGGCACCTTTTAATGCCGCTATTTTCCAGCCGAGTGTTGGATAATTTTAGCGCAGGCTATACCATCTGAGCTTCCCTGAGCGCCCCGTCTGACACAGTGTATGGGGTTACCGCGATTAAATGTGCTGCGCGAGCACAGAAATCGATTCGCTACCATTCTCTGAGGATTTGGCTTAAATTAAGCAAGTGTAATATAAATAACGTACTTCACAAGAAAGCAAGAACATTGTGTTGCGACAACCGTGTCGGTTTTCAAACGTTCGTGACCAATTAACACTTTTTTAAACGATCCAACAGAAGTTTTTTTTTTTTCCACGGCGGTATTTAGTAGTCCAAACACTAAATTTCTCAGCCGAAAGAAAACAACTGCATGCGTGACTGGTCAAAGGATGCTTGCTGACCGCGGTGTCACGGTCAGCGCACCGGACTTGCGGTCTGGAGGTCTCCATTTCCATACCCTCTCCATACACGGCAGTTGCAACAACGGAGGAGGTTTCTTAAATCCCTCCGCCCGTTCACCCAGCGATATAAATGAGTTGATCACACAATCGATTGGCAGGCCATGTATGGTGCGGTGAAGCGTGGGGGTACCTCTTCCAATTGTATTGACCAACACGGAAGAGTGGGCCAAACACCCTCATCCGCCAGCAGTAGCATGAGCAAGTAAATGCAGGGCTGCACCTTAACCTCCACCTTCTACGATTGTTTGAGCTTAGCCGCGGGCGAGAGCGTGTGCCCGCTCACAACAGCACTTGCCCTCAACAGCCCTGCGCGGGTCTACCGTTCTACCGTTGTCTCTTGATCCGCGTGCGTGTGTCCGCGTGCGTGTGTGTATGTGTGTATGTGCGGGTGTGTATGTGCGTGTAGTGGGAGCGGTAGTGTAGCGGTTAGCGCGCTGCGCTATGAACCTGGCGACCCGGGTTCGATTCCCGCTCACGGCCAACACCAGTGACGATTATCTGAACCGGTCCTGGGCCTCCCCTAGGTCGACTCAGCCTTAAATGAGTACCTGGTGCGGTGTGTAAACATCGCCACTGGGGAGACAAAGGCGGTCGGGCGTGGTGCTGGCCACCCACCCCCTCGTGTACCGTTCCGGCCTTCATAGGTGCTCGCTAACAGCACTTGCCCCTACAGTCTGTTAAGGCTATACGGGGGATCTTTGTATGTGTGCGTATGTATGTGTGTGTATGTATGTGTGTGTATGTGTGCGTGTGTGTGTGTCCGCGTGCGTGTGTGTGTCCGCGTGCGTGTGCATGTGTGTATGTGCGTGTGGTGTGCGTCTGTGTCCGCGTGCGTCTGTGTCCGCGTGCGTGTGTGTCCGCGTGCGTGTGTGTGTATATGTGCGTGTGTGCGTGTGCGCGTGTGTGCGGGTGTGTGTCTGTGTCCGTGTGTGTGCGTGTGCACAATTGACGTTTGCTTCGATCTAATGACCATGGGTGCTCGCGCGCAGGCACGGAGCCGATCTGGACGCAGTTTCCCTTCCGCTACGACGACTCGCACACCGAGTGCCGGGGCAAGCAGTTCGTCAAGCGCACGTGGTACCGCAAGTTCGTGGGCGTCGTTCTATGCAACTCTCTCCGCTACAAGATCTTCATCAGCAACTCTCTGGGAGGTAAGACGCACGCCGGGCACAATCTCGTTGCCGACGCAAATGTGACACCTTCCTCCGAGACGCAATCCGCGGTGTAACATTCGAGTTCGGGGGGGAGGGGAAGGGAGTGGTGGCACGGTGGTCTGCGTACTCAGAATCAGAATAGGTATTTATACTGGAGGAAGAATCCAAACACGCGATAGGAGTGCAAAGTACGGGAGAGAGATGAACAAATCACTAAAAACATACATGCAAATTAAACCAAACAATGTTTTGCCTGACCAGGTGAGGCCCACTGAGCTATTAGCTTCTTGTGGCTACCTGCCCACGTGAGTTCAAATCCTAGCCACAAATCCTAGCCACGACTGTCAAAGGGACGCGTGCAACACAACATGGTTCATACAATTCCATACACAGATAGAGAACTTAAACAATGCAATACAATGCGGTGCAATGTGAAACGATGAAAACGCTGCGTGTCCAACCTCATGCAAACTGAAGTCAGAAAACCCCTACACAGTTCGACACACTGCAATGAAACACATTCAATATACCGCGATACAATAACATCTATACATACAGAAGAACTATTTATATATATAATTCTACGCTATTAATTACATGGAAACACAATCAATCACCTGGCAGAGCTGAAAATGGGCTAAAATGTTGGACAGAAATAATGCCAAAAAACTGAGTTATTAGTCACCGGCATTTGGAGGTTGCTTGCTGCGAAATCTGAATTTGAAAAATGAGATTGGGTCCGCATTGCGCACCAAAGGGGACTCCGTTCCAAGCGGCGGAGAAAGGCACGTGGTGGGCTGGAGATGCCCCCTTGTAACCGTCTCCCCGATGGTGCGGAGATGGATTAAGGGGGTAAAGGGTAAAGCAGAGGTCCCTGTAGGATCGAGATGGTTATGGTCGAGAGAGGGGAGATTAGGTCAGCGAGATAGGTTTCTGCGGGGCCAGGGAGAGATTTGGAGACTGCAAAGGGCATCTCGTGTCTAATCTGCTTGTAGGTGCCTCGACGACCATGGAACTGGCTTGCACCACGGTTGACATTTAAATTGCCGCAAACACCCCCTCTGTGCGAAGTAATAATTATTACTGTGCCGCAACATCGCTGTAAAGTGGTCTTTTAAAGACTTTAAATCACCCATTACTAGTGGAGGTTATTTTATTCCATAAGCAAAAACATAAATGAATCAAAGTTACTGCAAATGTAATTTTCGTGTTAAAACTGTTTATCCATCTTATTCTTCAGAAAACATATCACTCTCCACGAGTTTTTATGCACTTAATTTGTCAATATTTAGTTTTGAGAATTTAGACTATTGGTATGACTGCCGTGAAACCGTGCACCGTGATTTCCCTCTGAATTCCGCGACCCAATCCATCTGAGGGGCTCGGTTTCTGACACAGCCCGATGCAACCTCTGCTCGTCTCCAGCTATGACAGCGACAGCACGATTTGCACAACAATGGTAATAGAGACGAAGCATTGTTATGCTGTCCTCCAGCTAACTTGGCATTGCTGGCTACAACATGCATTGTAATCCACTGTTTTATTTTTATTTCATTATTTTCTATCTACGTGACTTTACCGAACCAACCAAAGAATTTGAATTCCTGCAGTCACGAAAGTTTTAAGTCAAAATGTAATCCACTGCCCGGAATTTTTCATTTGAAACATTATTGTGCATTCGTCCAGGCTATTTATGTTTCTAGTTTGTGGACCTGTTTTACCACTCGCGGCATGCGGCCAATTGTGGTGCACACGTGGCCGATCGATTACACGTGGCTCTATGAACAGATCTAACGCGCTGTCATCGAGGCCTGACATTAAGCCTCCGGATTGCTGGACATTTGATTGGATTGGAAGTCCCGCGGGATGGAGGAGGGCACTCCGCACGGATGCCCGCTCACATCTTCATTGCCTCAGTCTTTAAGTGGAACAGACTAATGTACTGTCAGCTCAGAACTGCATTTTAGCCACCGCTATGGCGTGGCAAATGCACAGCAATTATTTTCGATTTACCGCGGGTTTCTTTTCTACCACCGTCAAATGAAATTGTATACTCTGTCCAAATAACTGCCGCAAAATAACTGCAATTTGCAAGACATTAAAATTGTTATTTTTTTTCTTAAATAGGGATTGCATTACATAGTCCTCGCTGTTTGGTACAGCTCCGTTTTATGTCTTGCGTGCCTTAGTGTTTCTTCTGCTCTCGGACGCTAGTATATCGAGACAATTTTCACATCCTGTAGCGATCAACTAACCCCAGCCTATGAGCATGTTGATTAGGATCCATGTCATTGCCGCTTTTAAAGCACATCAACTGCCTCCACATCAGTCAAATATTTGTTCATATCCACCTGCATTTGTTCAAGAAAACAAACTTTGAACCGTTTCGATTATCTGGGTCTGGCCCATTAACAATGAGTGCTACTGAGTATCTAGATATTATTGGCAAGAGCACTCCATCTCCACCATGGGGTCCTCTTCAACACCAAATGCAACGGCGCATACAAGCAGCCCATAATGCGTTGTTGTGGAGCATTGTAAAAAAGAAAACCAGGAGAACTCTGTTCTGTCTCGACAAATAAATAAACTACATCTTTATTTGTTTGGGAAGTCAATAGCCGTCAAACAAAGCTACTTATCCGCATTGGTATCCTCACGCCGTGTAAAACTGGAGATGCCAAGCAGAATTAGGTTTATCCCAGCATCAGCACCAGCTCACGAAACAATTACTCTAGCAGTCAGGCTGTTACAGTGGCCAGTTTCTGTGTGGAACGTGGGATGAATTAGCTAGCAATAACAACGGTGGGCTGGAGATTATAGCAAACGTGTGATGCGTATCACAAACAAGTGCAGGTTAAAGGGCAGTGAAATGTCTGCATCAGCACAAATATGGCTACAGGCGCCTGGGGACAATCCACACGTATGACGGAATGTCACTTTGGCGCCACGCAACGAGTCCTTAGTCCAGCAATGTACTTGCTGTTCTGGCTGCTGCAGGTTAATGTATCGCACAGGCCTCCTCTTAGTGTATGTCATCCGTCAACTCTGCCACGCAGCCACTGGATTACAGATGCCGATCACATCCACCGCATCGATATCATCAGCCATTATCAATCCACTGTTGGATGAAGGCCTCCCACGCTTTCGCCGCGTCTCTCATTTAGCCGCGAAGCGGCAAATCCACCGAGCACCTGCACACGATCTGATTTCATCTCACAGTCCCCGCTTTCTCTCCTTGGCTGGGACTCCATCATCAGTCTTGACCACCCGCTATCGGCGGGAGTATTACACCCGACACCACCGTGACGTCGAAGCGCGAGGCCCCCAAAGCGCGGGGCCCGGGGCGGTCGTCCCGATTCACCGAACCCCACGGGATGGCTCTGGCTAAGTCGCGGGAGTGTGAGGTCTCTGATTCCGCACCGCCGATTTGCACGGCTGGCTACGTATGGCGTGAAAGAAGCTGAACGTACTACATACGAGCGTCTTTTTCAGGCGACGTGGCCTGTCCGAACCGACTTACTTTTTCTTCACAGTCAAACGGATGCCTCCGAATTGCAGACAGTACATTCTCCCATCCCAAGTGCTCCTCGTACTGTCTCTCTCGATGCAATTCCGAGCAATCGGTCGTCTCCGCGCTTCTTTGCGCACAGCCACGGTGCGTGTAGATGATCACACGTCTTCTGGTTTCTGATAGATGTCCGTGTGCGTTCGTGTGTGTGCGTATGTGGGCAGGTCTGTTTTACAATGTCGGTGATGGATATGGACACGCGGAAGACCACTGCGAGTTTGTCGATTCATTCCTGGATGGGCGGACAGGACCTCGGCTGGATGAAAACCAACTGCCCATCACACAAGGTCTTGCCACACAGAGATCAATGCATTTGTTCGTCTCCACCATTATCACCACCATCGTCGATCCGTGAAATGCGTTGAAGTCCTGAGTAGCCATATTGGATGAGGGCAACCATTACCAGTCAGGCACTCAGTGAGACTTGAGACGAGATGGATCATGTTCCCTTCACCAACCCACACTGACCAAAGTGGTGAAGTATGGTCAACCGCTCCGCCATGACCGGTGCACTTAAACCACGCCCCCCCCCCTTGACTCTGGGCAGGTGGAGGAGCAGGGGATGTGAAGAACCACTGGCTATGAACAGAGACGCATTCTGCATATTAATAGCATACTACATAACAAAGACAAAGATTCCTCCCGTATAGGCTAAGCAGACTGTTGGGAAAGTGCTGTCAGTGAGCACCTTTAAAGGTCGACACGCCGCACGAGGGGGTGGGTGGCCAGCACCACGCCCGGCCGCCTTTGTCTCCCCAGTGGCGATGTTTACACACCGCACCAGGTACCCGCTTAAGGCTGAGTCGACCTAGGGGTTCAGATAATCGTCACCGGTGTTGGCACATGAGTGGGAATCGAACTCGGGTCGCCAGGTTAATACCGTGGCGCACTGACCGCTACACTACCGCTATATAAACGCGCGCACACACACACAATGGAATCTAGATTTGAGAACGCCTTCTATAAGCACAGTACTCGTATAAGCAGCACAGGCTTACATTATACTGGTGGGGTGAAGGCAAAGGGCAAGTTGTGACACGAGTATACGGGAGATATGAGCACTGTTGGCCTTGCTCTCAAAGGGGTGTGCTGACATCTGGCTCCGACTATATATACACAATGATTGGGGTGGAGAGTGGTCACAATTGTCAGTGCACTCTGTTGTGAACCTGGCGACCCCGGGTTTAATTTCAGGCGACGGCTAACGTCAGTGGTGGAGTGAATATCCGAACGGGGCCTGGGTCCCTCGCTCCCGACGTGGTGAAGTAGGGTCAGACAACCCCTGACGGCTGAGAGTCTGGGGGACCCTTCATCCAGCAGTGGAATGACAAGGGCTACAAATATAATATTTGTTCATATGTAATACGTGATTTTTGTCTGAAATCAAATCAGAAAATTCACTTACACAATGTATTAAACACTCTTCTCACATATCTCTGGGCTAAATGTTATAAAAAGGACATGTTCCTTAAGACGTGTTTTCTGGTTGCACTTAAGTGATTTTTTTTTACGAAGAGATGTACATTTAATTTGTCTAAGCTTTGAAGTGAAGCAGTGGTTGTCCGATGTACAGGATGTCCCTGCTATGTGAACAAGGAATTTTCCACCACAGGTTTATGGCACACATCAGAGACACATGCTGCCCAATAGACATTTAAACATATTTTTCCGCACGAAAAAATCTAACCAGAAAAATTCCCTCGACGGTTACACGCGACAACATATTAAATAAGCGCAGGGTTTGTTCATCGGATAAATCGTTTTTTTCCTCCGAGTCTATTTCAATCACACCGCCAGTCTCATACTAGGAGACTAATGGCTGCAGCTATTTTCGGCTTAATCCCACAACTATATTATTGCAGAACGATGGAAAAACAGAAAAACGGTCCCATTCCTCATTTTTGCCGATTCCATACAAAACATTCACCCATTCCACCACGATCCATGCTAAGATTTTGGAATGGCCCACAGTGGGTAGAATCGCTTCTGCAAAATTGGCTGGCTAATACCGGAAATTTTACAAAAGTGTCAGAACAAACGTTACATGAATTGGGTCCTAAGTGTCCATTCAGAACTCTTGCAGCGAAGAGTGCATCATCTGTCCCACAGAATGACATATTACAGAACTACTTCTGAAATCCCTTCAAATGGCATCTGGTGCTGCACTATCTCACGTGACCTCTGTTGTTTGTGAATGCGGTGCATGGCAGACTTAAGTGCTCTGACCCCTGACCCCTTAGCCAGGAGCATAAACTATCACGTGAACTCTGGTCATCCTCGCAGCAGCTTTTAGCGAGTCATCGAACAAAGACGGTTACTGCACTGGGCGCGTTCAGATGCGCTTTTGTGGCCGTCTGGAACGTTCTTCCAAAATTAGAAAGCCACTGGAACGGTGCATTTAAAAATCTAGATTGAAAAGAATTTCTTTAAAACAGCTTTTTGTGTTTCGTTTGTTGTCCTTCCCCGCACCTCCGATTAGCGCGGTTGGCTACGTACGGCGCGAAAGAAGTTCAACACACGTACACACCCATATGCACGGCGCCACATCTGATATCCACGCTGCTCTCTGCGCTCACCACAGGTTTCTACCGGCGGTACCGTCAGGAACCGCTGAACTTTGGCTCGATCGGCGGCGGCGTTTACCAGCACGGGGGCAGCGGCAATTACTACGTAGCCTGGTACGAGTGCGGGGTGCCCATCCCCGGCGTCTGGTGGTAAAAGGGCGGGCAGCCAACGCCTCCGCTGGGCCGCCTCTCTTCCCACCGTTGTACCGCCCGGGTGCCGAGCTGGAGGAACGCCGCGATCGCCGTCGACGGATTGACGTCGGAACCCCCCCCCCCCACTCGCGTCGCTGGAGGAGTGTGCGCGCGAGCGTCAACGTGCCACCTTGCCGAACGCGAGCAGTCGAGACGGTCGAGGGCAAAGCGGCGTCAGCCGGGGGGCTGGAAGGAAATTGGCTGTTCGGCGCTTTCCTTTCACAGTTTAGTTTTGTGCCCCCCTCCACCTCCACCCCCCTCTTTAAGCTCGGTAAATTGTCTTCTCTGGTTGCACGTGTGGCGCTGTTGCTCGTGCCTCGGCTCTTTTGGGGGCAGGAGACGCCAGATGCTGCGCGTGTCTCGTCTCACGGCGCATTGGCAGCTTTGCGGCGCAACAAATAGAAGAGTGCCATTCACTGCAGTTCACCCGAAGGGTTGGTGACTGATCTATTCACAACTGCTTTTTGACTGGCGATCCGCATTCTAATATTGGTAAAAAGGAATGCCGTTTTAAACTATATAAATATAATATGTCCATGAGACTACGGTGTCACTAAGACTGATGTAACGATAATAATGCAAAAAACGAAAAAGTAAGAAGTGATAACCAACTAAGAATAATAAATACAAGCTCTTTAGCCACGTGTCAATGTCAATGGTGCTAGTGATACTACTTTCATTGGTTTCCATCATTGTACTGTAACCATCACACCATGCCATGTCCGTTGCTATGTTTGTCCAACTCTTAGTTTGTCTACCCAGCATTCATAATTAGCTTGCCAAAATAATGTTTTTTTAAAGTAGCACAACTGGCCAAGTATTGAGTGTGTAACTGTTACATTTTTTGTCAGATTGTTAACATAATAGGCCTGGGCTGTACATGTATAAACTGGGTAGGTTCTGTGAGCAAAGTCTAGTGTCAACAAATAACAAACGTTGGTTCTCTTGCATATTCGTTCCACCGATGACAAATATTTGGTGAACAATTATAACAGCAAAAAAGTACGGGTCACAAATATCGATGAGTGGAATTGATATGCCCAAGTCTTGGTTCCTTAGAGGGAAAACATTTGAGAGAGGGAGGGGGGGGGGCGAATAGACATTCCCTCCCTGGTGTTTACAACAGGAACCTCTCTGCTCATAAAACGGATTCATTCTTCAAAAGGAAGTGATAAACGGTCACTCCACCGGCTCTTTACTGTCCCAGATGTTCGCTTGAGCCAAAAAATTGTTGGGCAGAATCACTTACTTCAAACAGATGTGGGATAAAAAGAGAGACGCGTCCCCTCTGGCTGCGCATGGCATCATCACTGGCTGAATGTGGTCTGCGATGAGCCTTGATGATATATAACAAAAACCCCATGCAGTGGCTATCCCCAGATATTTACGATTGACAGAGAAATTAGCTCAAAGTTGTAAAAGGTTCTGATGGTGCTGCAGGTTTTACTACTTTAAATACGAAGCTTGTGGAAGTGTATCGTTCAAAGGATTGTTCCATGGCCTCCCTTCTCATATCTAATGCAAGTAAAAACAAACACCACAACGTGATGCAAGCAGTAGTGTACGATAGCTGATACTAACAACAATTGCCAGCTCTGCTTACATTCAGCTAGACACAGCTCGACTCAATGATCATAGAACACAATATAACTGCATTAATCGGACTCTTAGCACGACAAAAAGGGCAAAGATCATCCCGCATAGCTCTTAACAGACTGTTGGGGACAAGTGCTATGAGCGAGCACCTATGAAGGCTGGAATGGCACACAATGGGGGCGGGTAGACAACGCCATGCCCGACCACCTTTGTCTCCCCAGTGCTGATGTGTACACACAGCACCAGGTACGCGCTCACACACACCCCCACATTATTCACATGGGCCATTTCGAAGCAACGGAATTACAGGATTGACGCGGGCGAATTTAGACACGGGGAATGTAATGGGCTCCTATTGTGTATCAGACCGGCATTGCCATGTAAGAAAATGTTGAAAGCTTGAATTGAGTAAGTCTCAGCAAATAAGACTGAGCGTTTGTTATCGCGTACTGTTGAGATGTCAGGGGTTGTACTTCCATTACCGTAGGCTGGAAAGAGTACAGCGCAGAAGATTAACAGACTCGACGCAATTGTTAAGCATTAGACCCAAAAGGATCCTGTCCTTAGAAAGTGTTTTTTGTTAAATATATGCGAAATCAAAGATTAATCGTTTGAAAATAGGAAGGGTAGGGTGTTTAAACAAGACTCGCAGCCTTAGATTCACTTCTGATTGGATTTGCATTTAAACTTATCAGTAACTTGATCGTAGGAAGCCGCTCGTCTTGCTCTTTGAAGCATTTAAATTCAGTTTTTGTTTTGTTTTACTTATTACATTGTACAGAGTATGTGCCGGCTTGAATGTAATCTTAATGTAGTTTATTTTGTATCAGATTATAATTTTGTAAAACACGTGTTGCTCTCCCAGCTTTGTGTCATGGTTGTTTTGAAGGAGAAGTGTTGATAGTATGAAAAGCTATAACAAATATAAATAACAACATGTGTTGTTTATCAAATATTTTTCCTTTTTTTGTGCACACAATTTCGTATGTAACAATTAATAAATAAAACATTCTCCACGTAGGAACATTTAATATTGGATTTATAATAGGATAATTGGGAAATGCCTAACGTGTTTTTCTACACAAAGATATAAAAAAAACGTTAAGCAAAGCAATTGAATCTTCTAATCAAGTTTATGCCAATTGGCAGGTTTTCGCGGGCAAAATGAGCATCTTGATTCAGTATGTATGGTCTGATCCTGGGAATATGCCACGTTGGTTTTGAAATGTATACACATTGTTCAACATTGATTAGTATAATGTTCGTATGAAAACTCTCTGCGTAGTGCGTTACACCAAGCAGGAGTTTGTGTGCCCAAAGAGTATCTTAACTTTCTCTCTCTCCCATGATGAGTGCGTGTTACAATTGTGTATAAGTGTACAATATGTTCCGCGAAACGTTCAATATCACTTACATTTAAATTCGTGCCGGATCACGATTACAAAGTGTCGCGTGTGCAAGAGCATCACGTAACAGATATCAATGCACACATTAAGAGTGTGGACGCCTGACACTTACATTTGTACCGCATACTTAAGTAGATTTCCATACAAAAAAGCTGTCTTTTGTTTTAAGTGAAACTTTTTTTTTGTCTTCTATTCGAACAATTTTATATTGACTAAGATAGTATAAATGGTCAAGAGGATATTATATATTTTAAAAGGATGGGTCTTTAAGCCGTACCTTATCGCTCTAATAAAGGAAATATATTTTCTGCTCTTGCATACAGATGTTGCATGACTATACATCTTTTGCCTGATTATAGAAAAATGTCTATATTAATAAATTATTATTGTACATGGCATGTTGTGAGGTTGAATTTTTTTTTCAAACATTACACCGCATGTGTTACAAGATACTCACCCAAGGAACCATTTATTTGTGGAAAATATTCTAAATATACCAGATACAAGTTGTATATCAAGAAGATAGAACTTACTGTGGTGACGTATTTCGTGAGATGTTTGTTGTTATTATACATTTTTGTATATTTTGTAAGTTATTTATATTTTGGCAGACTATAGCCACTGAGATGTTTTAGTTTTCATGTCAAGTTTTTTTTCCCAGCATGCGTTGCCACTGCATGATCCCTGTGGACAAGGAGAAAACACATCTATGGGCCAGATTACGGCTCATGCATCAGACAGTCCCTCTGCACATTAACGATAATCATAACGATAATTACACATTTGTCTCATTCCTCGGAGATTAAAACAATAAACACCCTCAGTCCAGATAACTATAGGATGCCAGTTTTTCACCATTAGTCAGTTTATCTGCATCCAAACGGCAGAATGAACACATACAAAGAACACCCGTGTATCCTACAACAGAGTCTTGGGGCAAGTGCTATGAAGGCCAGCATGGCGCACGAGTCAGAGGTGTGGCAAACAGCACAGCTGGCCATCTTTGTCTCCCTGGCACTGATGTTTACACACCACGCCAGGCACTCATGTAAGGTTAAATTAACCTCGTGAAGGGTCCAGTACCGGTTCAGATAGTAGTCCTGGCTGAGAATCAAACTTGGATGGTGGGATTTGGGGATGACGCACCCGAACCACCAAACTACGACTCTCCACTTCACACAGTGAATGGTTCTTCACGGCTGCAATGCCAAGGAACATAGGATGGCAGTTTGTCCATTAGTCAATTGTCAGTACACAAAGGATGCACATGTCGTGACGTTGAATGAGTCATTGTAGCACGTGGCGCTGGGAGATTAGTAGACAATGGAATTAGGGGTAGCGGCCCGCTCTGCCAGTTGGACCTGTGGGCCAAGCGCGGAGCCTTCTGGGGGATCCAGAAGGGGGCGTGGCCGAGGGCGGAGCCTGGCCACGCTGCGGAGGATAAAAGGCGAGCTCCGACTCACAGTCGGGGCTGCTGCCGTCGGGAGAGGGACTTGTCGTGCTGCTGTTGTCGTCGTGGTCTTCGCGTATTCAAGCTGTGGGTCTGGAAGCATGTTGGCTGTCCCTACCCGGTATGGAGTTATGCAATATGGCTGTGAGAGCCATCAAAAGCAAGAGGGATAATGCCTCTTACTAGTGTCTCTGAATTGGTACACTACACACACACCCATGCCACAATCATGAAATCAATGATCAATGAAAAAATAGACAACTGTATGACACTAAAGAATGGTCTGAAAACATCTGAAGAAAAAAAAACTCCATACTGGACCCTCCTGAAACAGTTTTCTGGGTATATAAGTAATTACTTTTGATCATCATCATGAGACCTCCTTTGGCAGTACCAAAATATAAGAATAGTTTTTTCTCCTTTTTTCTGGCAACAAAAGGTTTCAGATTTGTTGCCAGAAAAGGGGAAAAACCATTCTTATAATTACTTTTGACTTTCGTGACTGCAGGA